TAATTGTTTACTATTGGCACCCCAGATATTTGGTCCAGTGCAGCAGATCATCAAATTTAGTGATGTAAATGAGGTCATTGAAAGGGCAAATAACACAACTTATGGCCTAGCTGCTGCTGTATTTACCAAAGATATAGACAAAGCAACAACAATTTCTCACAGTTTACAAGCTGGAACAGTTTGGTGAGGAAATAGAACATTATGGTTGTAATTTGGAACAGCTCGTGTATCCCTTAAATGTACGTGTTACATTTGGCTTTTCTATCAGAGTGTTAATGATCATAAACAGATAACAAACAGATCAGTTTCCTAGTCAGAGTGGTAATATACCACAAATCTCTTGTCTGAATACTGATGTTCTCTAATTTGTTAGATTTGATTTTGACCACAGATCATTTCTAAAACATTATGCACTACACCTACTTGTCTACTTTTTGGAAAGATCTGTTTGTTTCAAAAGTTTAGTTGGAGAAGACCCATGACAGGGTAGGAGATGCTTTCAATTACCAGACTAGTACAATATTGTATTTTGCTTGATATTTTACACATTAACAGTGTATGTGGTGAATCCTTTAAACCCTAATATCTGTATGCATATTCTCCAGACTGTTCTCTATACATTTCCTAAGGTGCTGACAAGGAGAATTTGTTTAACAATCAACAGCTTTTCAGTGACCATCTCCCTTAATTCTCCTGATCCCAGTTTTGATTCAGGTTGACATTGTAAGGATAAAGTAGATGCTAGTCACTCTTAGGCTTCAAAATGTTAATAAGGTTTGTTTCCATGAACTTATAATTTTTTTTTTTTTTTTTCAGGGTCAACTGTTATGATTGTGGGGGGCCTCAAGCTCCCTTTGGAGGATTCAAGATGTCTGGCTTTGGTCGAGAATGGTAATTACATTCTTTGTATGTGGAAGTGGCAACTTGAAGTGATATACATGGATCCCCTTAAAGTCAACTGAAGCTTTTGCTTAAAAACTGGTCACTGCTTAAAAAAAGAAATTGTGGATCAAAAGTATTTTGAAGCAGAAAATGCATCATCACTAATCTGTAATTCCCAAAAACTGATCAGTGCTAATCTCTCCTTTTAAGCTGCGTGATAAATTTCTCTTCAACAATTCTTGACTGGGTAGTTTTATTGATTTGATATTTACATTGAGCAGAGAAGTTACATTTGAGTCACTTCTAGTCCTCTCAAAGATCAATTAAGTGTTGATATTGGTGAAATTCCTTGAGGCATGACTTCTACATTTGTTTTCAAAATTGTTTGTTACTGACTTAATTTTTCTCAAGAACTGAGTTGGTAGTTGAGTGACTTTTGATGCAAAATTGACTTCTCCCTTTGTCTCACTCAAAAAAAAAGTAGGGAGAATCTATCAGTATAGCAGAAGTTGAAGCAGAAGGCTCTTGTCCATACACCCATTCATTTAATAACATTGTTTTACAATGGCCTGTCTGTATGTTTCTTTTTTTCCAGGGGTGAATATGGTCTCTTACCCTACTTGGAAGTGAAAACAGTAAGTACTTACGGCTTAATTTCTTTCCATGAATTACACTCTAATTTCCTTGATTGCAAGTCCCTCAACTGAGGCCTAATGAATCTGAGATTGTCATTGTATGTGTATTTTGAAGTTGATAATTTTTCCATTTACTACAAAGTTAAAAGTATGCAATTATTATTATTTTCTTATGTAGGTTACCATGAAGGTCCCATCAAAGAACTCATAAATGATAGACAATGAAATATAACAACAGAAGTGAACTGTAGCTTTATGGTTGGTAGTATATAGTTTGGTACTGGAGGTTGTCTAAAACAGGAAAGGACCTTTGAAATAATAGAATGAAAATAATAAATTATCTTATAGCAGGGATTTGATGGGAGTCCTAGGTGCATGTTTGGGGCAATGGTATTAACAAAATGGCTGGAAATTGAGCCCATGTATACCATGATAAATGTAAAATCATTTGTGGAGAGCAATGCTTGTTTCCCTGATATAGCACAAGTGTTCTTGATGTACTTAACAACGCTGCTGCACCATCAATGATTGCTGCACCCATTAGATCTTAGGACTGTTTAGATAATTTTGAATTTCGAAAACAAAATTATTGAGAGGAACTTTTACACTTTTGGAGTTTTGAAAAAAATAAGATCAGATATATACTGGTATATTTTGCAAAATCCTTGTTCCTAACCCTTTCACTGATTCAAGCCGGGTTAGCCACAGTTGACCATCTTCCCACTTTTTCCTCAAGTTAAAATGAATGTACAATGGCAAATATTTATCTTGTTATCAGAGTTCCATCAAAAGTTACTAGCATTTATTTCTTAGGGCTCCTTTTGGGTTGTGCTGAAGGAGAGGGAATTTGGACCTCATTCAATAACAAAATTGATGCTCTCAAGTGTCAGGGAAAGTAATATCAGTGGACAAATGATATAAAGGCTCCTAAAGTTTTCTTACATGACCTCGGGAAAAATGATGATAATTATTTTTTGATATAAAGGAATAACACGTGTAAATGCCCTTCCTTAAAGCTTACAGACATGAGATTCCTTATTCCACACACTTCCATCGGTTACAGAATGTCCGTCTCCTCCCCCATAAAACTTTAATCGATTTCCTGTTGAATGAAATTGTTGTAGTGTACTACCTTAAATACAATAATATAGAACATTAGCATACGGAAAGTGCCGACAGATAACCTTTCGTTTAAAGACAAAATTTTCCACAAATGTATATCGTTCTGGTAGCGTGGCCGAGTGGTCTAAGGCGCTGGTTTAAGGCACCAGTCTTTTCGGAGGCGTGGGTTCGAATCCCACCGCTGCCATGATCTTTTCACTTTTTTTTTTTTTTTTCTAATATAGCTACTTAGATTACAGAGTTCTTCAGGCCCAACTCTTTTTAGAGTTCCCTTTCGGCTGACATTAATTTGAACGTTAGATAGAAGAATTTTGCTCCCCTTAAGTATTCAGCCCAGTTAATAATATGAGTGTATTTGAGAAGTACCTAAAATACCGGCGGTGGCAAATGATTTCGAATACTAACTTGCGTATGACCCTTCACTTAAGTCCTCACGTTTTTGTTGCAAATAACAGATCATCAGAATTTTTTGCACTGAACTGATAACTTTAACAGCTAATACTTCGACTATGAGTTTCTACTGGTCGAGCCAGAGGTTGTATCGGATCCGTTTTTGCCAAGGAATAAAAGTCATTTCACTCTGTTTTCTCAAAAAAAAAAAAAAAGAAAGAAATATAAATCTTCCTGCTTTGAGAAAAAACTGCGAGTATTAATATTTGAATTGTTTTTAAAAACCTTTCGAAAATCGTGGTTCTCGAAGCACAGGCAGCCCAAGCTCACTGAACACCAACAGAGCGCTAACTCGCCGAAAACGCTTCAAAATGGCCTGAGATGTTAGGAATCAACAAAGAAAACAGCAGGGCAATAAGGTGAGTCCATTTTATTTCATAACAAAATAATTTTTCTCTCTTTTAAAGGCAAACCGATAACATCCCATACAAACCTTTATAAATATAAAACGTTGCGCAACACTGTAAGAGTCACGTCCGCGTTTCTGGTAGTGAGCTTGGGGTACCTGTGCTCGAAGCGGTAATATGTGAACAAGAGCTCCCCCTAAAACCTGTCGGCCGACTGTCGGTCAACTGTCGGCCTACAGATTACCGACAGTTTACCAACAGGCTACCGACAGCTAACCGACAGGCTACTGTGAAAACACGCAGTAGACATGTCCCAGAAACGATAATAGTCCCGATAAACACGAGTTAAGCTTTGCCTACTGATTGATCGATGGCAAAAAGATTTCTTTCCGAGATGATTAACCAGCAGGACAGTCAATATATTTAGGTTTAAAGGAGATTTAATCCAAACCTCAGAAATCCAAGGGGAAAGAAAGCTACTTTAATTGGGAAGCTTCTCAGTCGTGTTGCTGAACTCCACGTACAACGTGGAGTCCAGTCCGGCCCTTATGATACATCGTGTATGTATCAGTGATGCTTACCTTTTGACTAACAAAGTTCTCTAGTTTTGCAGGTTCGGACACATAAGCTTTTGGATGACTGCGTTCCTCTTAGGAAAAAGAAAGTGATTTATGAACCCGCGAGATTTGTTTTAATTAATTAGTATCTTTCATAATCCGATAATTTGACTTGAATGGCGGACAAATAACTCGTAGCGAGATGTGGTTAACACATTGAAAATTTGGCTGTTCTTGGTGGTGTTCGCGCTAGGATTGGTTTCTACAACGACTGTACCTATTAAAGTTTCCCATACAGTACGCAGTGTATCTTTTCAATTCACTTTTATGGATAAATAAGGTAAACTTCACGACACGATGTAACCGACAAGTTACCGACACTTCACCGACAGGTTACCAACAGTCGGCCGAATGTCGGTCGACAATTTTAACTAAAACTGTCGGCAAACTGTCGGCAAACTGCCAGCCTACAGTTGGCCGTTTGTAGACCGACAGTTGGCCGACAGTCGACCAACAGTCGGCCGACAAACGGCCAACTGTTGGCCGACAGGTTTTTTGGGAGCTCTTCTTCATAATTACCCTTGAAGCAGTCACGCGAATCGGATTTATAACATGCTGCAGGTAAAAAAGAGAACCCAAGGGGTTGTGGTGGCAGGGAGAGGTGGGTACTCCCATGTGAAATCGATAGTGATCTCGTCGGCTCCGCGTTACGTCTTCGCTTTGCGTCTCTGCTTCACGTTGAAAATTACGAAATTTTGTCAACCTTGTTCCTGGGCTCCTCATTTTCTTGCAGTCCTCCCTAAAATGGCACCTTTACTGTTTTAAAGTAAGGAAATGTAGGGAGGGGGGTAGTGATGGGGGAAAGGGCATTAAATTCCAGATTAAGTTGAAAAGATTGAAATTATTAAAAAATAATTCAATGAATTTAAAATAATTTAAATGACTAAAGAAAACAATTTTCTGATGGGTCTTTGATTTTTATTATGTGAAGTTAGGTGATTTTTATTATGTGAAGTTAGGTAATTAGGTAACAAGTAATTTGAAATAATGGAAATAATAGCAGAAGCACTCATCACCATTGCGTAATGCTTAGGACAATTATGCATCAGCTGATCATTGCTTCTGGCAAAGATGATAATCATTCAATTTCAGTGGCATCAGCTCTCTGTCTCCACTCGTTGAAACCTCCCTGAGAGAAAGAAAAAAAAAAAAGGAAAAGAGAGATGAATGATTAAAGAATTTTTCAACCTCCTTTAGAGGAGGAGAATATTATATGACGTAGCATTTTAAAGCCACTAACAAATTATGCTAACATCGCTCTTACTATCTGAAAAATATACTAAACCTAATAATATCTCAGTATATGCATCTTATTAGAGATTTTTTTGTGTGTATTGCTGAGTATTTTTATGAGTTGTGCCATATTTTGACAAGCCTGTACGGCGAGTCAAAATACAAACAATGAATAAAAATACTCAGCAATACTACATAACAAAACATCTAATAAGAGATTTATTATCCAACACACCAAATTGTTATTCAGTGCGGGCGAATTTAGCGGATGTTTCTGGAGTACAAATATCACATGATATTTGCACTTGTCTCATGCATTATTTGTACTATACAAAGCAAAGTTGGATAATAAGAAATAAAACATTAAAATATCAAATGTTTACATGATAAAGTGCAACATCAGGACATCCACAGAGATGTGCTGTGAGAACCAAAGTACAAGAAGAGATGCCACCAATACACATGCCAATTACTGGTTTGCTTAGATCAATTCCTGCATCAGAGTAAACTGAAAGGCAATAAAATTTGGTCATTCATGTCAATCAAGATGTTTTGTATTACCGAATTATCAATATTTTATTCAAGGTTATGGTTAAGGTCCCAACATGAGGGAATCCTTTACTTTTGTTTTTGTAAGAGTGGCCTGTCTGCGAAGGGAACTTAAATCACATTTTTAATCATCAAGAGTGAATAAAAGAAAACAGAAATCTTGGAAATTGAACCAACTTCTCATCTGTATTTTAAAAAAAAAACTTATTTTTGAAATTATATATAATTATCTATATCTATATATCTAATGTGTAGAGAACTAATGAGCTGTTAACTATTACTTTAGTATAGGACAGATCGCATATTTTGGAACTGAATATCACCTCTTTTACTCATGAAAAGAGTTACTTATAATACCTTTCTTTAACTCATCAACAGTCTTAAGAGTCTTGGTTTCAGCATTAAACAAGGTTGGAAATGGAATATTTACTGCACCAGGATAGTGGCCAGTGGTTGGATCTTGGAAAGAAAGTGATTGAAAATTAAACTGTCTAATTTGTATTAAATAACTGTAATGCACAATATTCAGAGCCTATCCCTTGTGATAACATACATTGGGGTTGATAATGATAGTAATGATAAATACTAATATAAGTAATAAAATAATGAAAGTCAAATGGAAATGATAAATCACATTTCAAACATGATGCACCTAAGTTCTATTATAAAGTATTCTTGAAAGATTATTTTTATTTACTATAGTTTAATAGATACAATCAGGCCCGTAAGAAAAGTACAAATTGCAACAAACCATACATACATACATACATACATACATACATACATACATACATACATACATTTTATTGGGTTTTGGGATAAAAGTACAGTAACATGCCCACGGGTAGCTAAGCTAGTCTACGCAGGTCATGTTTACAGGAAATAGATACAACTAAATACAGCTAAAAGTAACAAGAGAACTAAAAAGCTGGAATTGACAACAATGATTAGAGACTACTGATAAACTAATGATATTACTAATAATAAATGACAACAGTCTTGACGGGAGATTCAAAAAGCCAATACAGACTGGCTATAGCTAATTACTTTAACCCATCTTCTCAAGATGATTAATTACCATTGGCAGAATGATTGAACATATTTGGGCCACGACTATCACAAACTTGTGCTTTTCTTGACTTCAGGTTTTCTTTCATGTCTTCAAACTTTCTTATCCATTTTGGATTCCACTTTGCAGTAAAGTCACCATCCTACGTAAACAGATCAAATAAAAGTTATTAATTGGTTTTGGTTATAATTTTTAGCCCAGTGCTTATGGTGTCTATTATGGTGATTTAACTATTTTTAATATTTGATTTCAATTACTCATTTCTGGTTACACCACCAAGGGGTCAAATTTGGTGTCAAACACTTTCATCATAAGCATCATAATATATCCTTCACTTCAAAAGAAGTAGTTATACAAAGTCAACATTATGGTAGTTTGGTAATATTAACTAAGTTGAGATTGTATGGTAGGGTGAGGAGATGTCCAGTACACCATAAGGCGGCTTGTAGGGAAGACCACCTTGGTTGTCCTTATGTTACTTTGTAATTAAGTTGTGGATGTGCTGCTCAGACAATTCAAACTCGTTTCATTAAAAATTCCCTAATCTTTTTTTAAATGTAGAGAAGCTTTGCTAGTGTGATCAAGGACAAATTTTAAAGAAGGTGTAGTCAAGAGGGTGTGGAACCATATTTGGTAACCTTCACACTAGGTGACATAGGCTTAAATTCACATTCCAGAGTTCAAGGTATCAGTTTTTAAGCTGCAATATGCAGCTTGGGTTTTGTAGTTGATCTGAACCACTAGGTTTATCTAACATCATTTTCCACAATTTGGTGGTCTTCCCAGCAAAGCAGGCACCAATGAGTACAGGAAACTCTTGGAGAAAATTGATTAATTGCTCCTAACTGTTGTTATTAATTGTTGTGGTTTATAATGTTGAAAAGCACTCTGTACAAGATTTGAGACAATCAGTCTCTAAAGTTAAGTAAAATTTGATCACCCCTTTCTGGACCACTGCATCTGTTGTTTCAAAGCCATCACCAATCCATCTTTTCAAACCTCCGTCAAGTACTGAGACATTTTCGTGTCCAAACAACTACGAAGGTAAAAGAAAAAAAAATTGTTGGTAAATAGGAAAAAATTTAGCAGAGTCCTATCTTTGGTTTTGTTGAGTATCTTCAGCTCCAACTCTAGGGTTGTCTTTAGAGGCTTATTTGCAGCGGAAACCCTCCTGCTGTGAGACCATTTTTCGCCAGCTTCTTTGAACATTGTGATCAACGACAAAATTAGCATTTTTGAAATGATTCTAAAGTCAGTGTCTGGCTTAAAAAAGATTTCTCTAATATGTCCCAGAATGCCGAATATTGTGTCTCAAGACTGTCAGATATCAAAATTTTCTCGAGGAGCATGTCCTCGGACCCCCCCAGAAGGTCATGTTTGTTTGCAACACGCCATGCTTGCTATGCTAGCTTAGTTCAATTCAGCCGCGAATTCAGTTCAGATCATATATCTAATTAATTTTCTGTTGACAACCCTGAGGCGAGGGACGATTAAATGGAGGTCCCGTCTCCTGTAGGGTTAGGGGTAGGAGATGTGAATTTCCACGCACGAGATTACTGTGTGGTAGATGTCCTCCCCTGGGGTGGGATGGGTGGGTTTACTGGGCCCGCAGTAATTGGCGCAAGCTGTTGCGGTGTCCCTGCCTGTCGGCGAATCTATTAAACTATAAACTGAGCCTCAAGAGATACATTGGGAATATGATTACCTTGAACATCCACCAAGCTCTTCCACCCATGAAGAAACCAAACTTTCCAGTGTTGTCATAGATCACGACATGATCCTTGCTATTCACTGCACTGGCTCTTGCATTCATTTGAAATGTAGCAACATCTGGAATGTTTCGTGGATACCATGGTGTGTTTTCTACCCCACGAAACAAGTCCATATATGAAGCATTTGCAATATGTTGCCTGGAAGATACCAAGATCAGATAATCTACATGAAATATTTTAGTACATTATTTAAACTTGAACCACTTTTGAGTACTTGTTCAAGCATTTATATTTATTTAATAAGTAATACACGGATGAATTATTCTTCTGGAAGGGTCTTGGAGAAGCTAGGAGGAGGATTCATGGTGTGGGTTTTGCTGTGCACAACAGATTGCTAAAGAAGATCAGCACACCTCGAGGCGTATCTAAACGCATATCCATTTTGGAACTGGCGACTAAAACCGGCAAAGCTCACATCATCAGTGCCTATTCCCCGACTCTAACCTCAGAAAGCGAGAAGAAAGATCTATTCTATGAGGAACTCCAAGATGTGATTAACAGCATTCCAAAGGCAGACCAAATCTTTCTCATGCATGGGTGATTTTAATGCAAGAGTTGGCGCTGAACATCAAGTATGGACCAACTGCCTCGGAAAGTTCGGACTGGGAAGAATAAATGAGAATGGTCAGAGACTATTAACTGAGAGTTCTGCACAAACAACGATCTGTGCATTACAAAAACTTTCTACAATGGCAGGGACCGGCATAAAGTTTCGTGGCGTCATCCAAGATCAGGCCACTGGCACCTGCTCGACTTTGTGATTGTTAGGAAGAATGATGCCAACACTGTGAAGCAAATAAGATCTTACCACAGTGCAGATTGTAACACAGACCACCTTCTGATAATAGCCAAGGTAGAGATGATCACACAAAAAAAGCCAAGATCTGAGAAGCCAAGAAAACCCAAGATCAATACCGAGAATACGAAAGACCCTACAATGATGGCCAAATTCCAGGAACTTGCTTAAGAATAGCTTCAAAACCTGGATGAATCATCTCCCAACAACATGTGGAACAACATGAAATCAGCAATATATGATTCTGCATCAAAGGTGTTTGGAGTGGATCGACCTTCCAAGGAAGACTGGATTGAAGCCAACGCATAGACATTAATGCCACTGCTTGAGGAAAAACGCAAGATACATATAGAACACGACAGAAATTCGTCAGAAAGCACAAAGCAAAAACTACTTGCTGCGAAATCAAACCTTCAAAGATTAACCAGAAAATGTGCCAACCAATACTGGGAAAAGCTATGCTCAGAAATTCAACAAGCGAGCGACATGGGTAACATCAGGAAAATGTATGAGAAAATCAGAGTTGCAATTGGACCAACAGCAAAAAAATTGGTACCTCTCAGATCTGCAACTGGCGAGCAACTGACGGACAAGAAGAAACAAATAGAACGATGGGTTGAGCGCTACTCTAATTTGTACTCAAAGGAGCGGCATGTTGACGGACAGCTTAGAGAGATCATCCCTCAGCTCCCTGAAATGACAGAACTGGATATACCACCAACAGAAGAAGAACTTGCCATCGCAATCGAAGAACTTGCAAGCAGAAAAGCACCGGGAAACGACAACATACCCGCTGAAGTAGTGAAAGAAAACAAAGCGTTTCTCCTTCCCTATCTTCACAAGCTACTGATGACTTGCTGGTTGGAAGCAGAAATCCCACAAGATATGAGAGATGCTAAGATCACAATTCTCTATAAAAATAAAGGGGATAAGGGAGATTGCAACAATTACAGAGGCATTTCACTACTGAGCATCACAGGAAAAGCATTTGCAAGGATCATCCTGAAGAGACTCCAGAAACTAGCGTAGAGAGTTGTACCAGAGAGCCAGTGTGGCTTCAGGTCAAATCGCTCAACAATGGATATGATCTTTTCCCTTTGACAGATACAAGAGAAATGCCGGGAACAACGTATACCATTACGTATAGCATTCGTTGACCTGACAAAGGCTTTTGATAAGTCAGCAGATCAGGATTGTACATGGTGCTAGAAAAAATAGGATGCCCAGCAATACTGCTGCAGCTCATTGTCTCCTTCCACGAAGACATGAGAGCCACCGTCTAGTTCGATGGTTCAACATCAGACAGCTTCAACATCAACAGTGGAGTTAAACAAGGTTGTGTCTTATCAACGACCCTCTTCGGCATCTACTTCGCTGTATTGCTTGAGTATGCATTTCAGGAGTCACAAGGGGATGTTTTCCTCCACTGGAGAGCAGATGGGTCACTCTATAACCTTACCCGACTCAAGGCCAAGACCAACATGAATCAACCCTACAGACAGTGATGGACCACCTATCATCAGTGTGCAAGGCCTTTAATTTAGTCATCAGTGTGAAGAAGACAGTCATACTGACCCAGGAAGGCACAGCACAAGCCCATATCAAGCTGGACAACAAAGAACTTGAGACTGTTGACAAGTTTTGTTACCTGGGATCTACCATCACATGCACTACCTCACTTGATGATGAGATCAACGTCAGGATAGGGAAGGCCGCAACAACATTTGGTAGGCTAACAAAACGAGCTCGGGAGAACAAAAGATTAAAGATTAAGACAAAGATCAAAATCTACGAAGCATGTGTTCTAAGCGCACTCCTCTACGGATCTGAAACATGGACCTTGTACAGCAGACAAGAAAAGCGACTCAACACTTTCCATCTCAGATGCCTTCGTAAGATCTTAGGAATTACGTGGAGTGACAAAATTAGCAATGTTGAGGTGCTGGACTAGACAATACTCCAAAGCATGACATCGATCCTGTGCATGAGAAGGCTAAGATGGTTGAGACATGTAAAGAGAATGGATGACAGCCGGATTCCAAAGCAACTACTCTATGGTGAACTGTCACAAGGAAAAAGACAGAGAGGAAGACCAAAACTGAGATATAAGGACGCATGCAAGACCAGTTTGTCCAAATGTGAGATCGATGTCAAAACCAAGGATGAAATAGCAGTTGACAGAACGAAGTGGAGGGCTACAGTGAAGGAACTATTGTGCTCGAAAATAGCCTCAGGAACAACCAGATTGAGAAACGTCAGCGACGAAAGGAAAACAACAGCAGTGCAGAACGCGGCGGCATCTCCCTGGTATGCAAATACTGTAGCAGAAGCTGTGGTTCCAAGATCGGAAGAGTCAGCCATGAAAGAAGCTGCAAGCAAAGGACTTTCTAGGGCTTATCATGAAATGACCCTTTTAAGCTTAACAGACCGTCTGAAGAGACGAAAAGGGCCATACAATACACGGGTGAATAGTACTTTTTACGCGTACTGATTGGTTAGCTCGGAAATTATTGAAAGGTATTTTTGTATCGGTACACAAGTAAATAGTGCTTTTCGCCTGCACTGATTAGCTAGTTCGGAAGTGATTGGCAAGTAGATCAACCTACTGAACGGAAGCGCTGAATAGATGAAACCGCGTGTCAAGATTTTTTTTTTAATTTACGATTTTTAGTTTACACGCAATGTTGAAGTTTCTCGAGGTTGTTGTCGTGCTTGTAATTAAGGAGTTTAAGCAAAGACGTCCAAAGCTCACGTCTCGAGAAAAACGAAAGATTAATTTTCGGTTACGTATGTAATTATTTACGAAAGCGTCAGACGTTGTGTTACGCGGTGTGAGGTTACGCGAGGAACCCGTCGATTTGAACCCGTCATAAAGAATATCATGGGAAACGAAATATGGTCGATTTACAACGCTAAATATTCCGAAATGTGAACATTTTACACGTAAAAATGGTTACTGGTGATCTCTGCCGTTTTTGGCAGAAACATAATTTTCCTCTAGGATTTTCGCTTGTAGCTCGATGCGCCAACAGTTTCTCGCGGTACGACGTTTTCGCTTAGGCATAACATTGCTTCCAAGATTTCATTGGTAAGAAAAAGTTGGCGTTTGATTTAACGTTTTAGTTCTGTATTGGACGGCTAGGAAATGTACAAAGTTTTAAAACACACGTGTTTCGCTATTGTTTTGCGCATTTGAACTTTTTTTAACGTGAAAGCGACTCCAGCGAAGCGGGTTACTCTACCTTGAAATATTTGCATGGCAAATTGTCACCCCAGCTGACAGGGTCACCCTAACCCTTGGCAACCCGCCATGGCGGGTCACCCCACCCGTCATGTAAACGTGATCAAGATGAAATAAGAGATTGTATTGACATGCAGGTTACCACACCTAGGTTCCCCCACCTCAACAGGCCCTTTGTCATTTGAGAATCGTGATTGGCAGCCCATCTCATGCACATTGGAGTAACTCGAGCGATAGACATGAGATTTGTAAAAGAATCGCTTAGGGCAATTTAGAAGAACAAGCACACGACAAAAATCGTTCGGCGATAGTTCCTTTAATGGCCTAACTCTTAAGAGTTTCGTTTGTGAGGCTCGTCTTCTGTATAAAATTTCACAGGTTTCCGTAATTGTGCGCCTAGAATTTTGAATTGGTTTAATTTCGTGATATCGCATGCACGGGGCGACGACATGAAGATTGATTGCTGGTTGAGATAGGAAATATCAATGGTTACACCGAATGAGATTAAAAATCACTCTACCGTGCTTAGTCTGTAGTCCCTATCAAAACCATTAAAAAAATAAGGTTAAGAATCAAAGGGACAAAAGATGAATTTTCAAACAATCTCGCAAAGATTCAGGTCCGTTTGATGTTTCGTGCGGGAGACGCCATGTCTTTCCAAAGGGCGGGCGGGAGCTAAAAAAAACATATGTAGGTCATCGGATTTCGCTATTAAAAGCCTGTAATCGTCTTCTAAGGGCTCATAAACAACCTTACGAGTACCTATTCTCATATGAGGACACTTTGGATCGCGAAATCTTAGCGGGAAAGTCCCTTTTCTTAACCTACGTGATACAAATTTAATATGGTATCACGCAAAACTTGGAAATTCAACTGTGCTTTATTACAACACGAAAACCCTAAAATCTTAAAAGGATCAATAATTCCTTACTTTATCAATTTTGATGACGCAACGTGAGCGCCTCACTTTAAGAGCTTGTACTTAATTTTTCCACTAATTTTTTTATTTCTTGACTTGCGCGACGGATTCTGATCGACAATTTTAAGAGGTTGTCTGTGTGCAAAAGGTCTGACAATCGTCCACTTAAAACCAAACTAATTTTAGAATCTATCTGAATTTCTCAAGAAACATCGAATAATCTCAATAGGTTTGATCGAAGTTGTTCCTGATATTCTTAAGAATTTAAAACAACTGTAGGATGTGTGTAGTCCATGTACTGCCCGCCTATTAAACTGAGCCATTTCAAAATCCAAAATTCCAGTGGTCGGTAGACATATTTGGAATTTTCAGTGAGACTTACTCGGAACAATCTATTATTCTCTACAAAGATCGTGTAACATTTTGCCGGATTTCCTAGACACCTTACTTTGAAAAGTCATATTATTCTCTACAAAGATCGTGTAACATTTTGATTTCCTAGACACCTTACTTTGAAAAGTCAGTTGAAGCATCCTTGTCGCTGAACCATGTAGTATCTAAAACTGACAAATGTTCCGCGGCGGTTCCTAGGCGCTTGTTAAGCCATTCTGTGGATACTTCAGGCTGATTCATTTCTGAAGACATACAGATGAGATCGTAAACAAGTTTCCAGCAAGATTTCCGTCTCTTGTTACCCTCAGTGGTGAATGCCTGCAGAGGTGCATGGAATATGTAGGAGTGGTTTATCATAACTTGAAACAATGCCTACTGAGAAAGGACCTGAGCTAGATTTGATTGGGTTTTAGGTTTCGTGTCTGGAACAAAAGCTTCCACTTTTATCGGCTTTACCTTTGTAAGGGCAAGCAAAAAAATGAAATAAAATAAAGCAGAACAAGTTAAGTCAAAACAGCGGTACTGTACCTCCAAGTAAAGGCACTTGTGTTTTCGTGTTCACTCGTCACAGCTGATTATTTTAATAACTGTTTCACACTTGGGGCGAGCAGAAGTGTCTTACAGATATGGTCCAGTACTTTTATGTCAGCGCCTCCGGGGAATAGATGCTATTTTGTTCATACTTTAGAAATGGTGGCGCTAGCAAAATGATATTGTGATTGGTTTTTATACAGTCCAAACATATCGCTTTATTTGACTTATACAGCAGAACAGCTATTCGGGTGGACTCAATGAGCCTTTGATTGCATGTGCGAGACTCAAGGTCATCGGAGCTCAGCGAAAGAGCATGCGACCGACCATGAGGGGGGCGAGAGGAGTGTTGTTCTTCCCATCTCCTCACTTATTTTTTCTCGCTCAGTTCTTTGCAATGCATGCTAAAACTTACTCGTAAGAAGGTCTATTACATATCAATATCTTACACATCAATATCTTATTTGCCATCAAGCAGAACTAAATCTGATGATTGTTTATGCATGCTGAAAACTATTAAATTGCGCGAACAAAATCAATAAGAGCAAGAATTGGCTTGAATGCCTCTAACCAATCAGAACTGAGATGGTGACGCCAAAGCACACAAATCAAAATTTTACGCAGTGCAGATGAATAAAGCCAAGCGCCATCTTCCAGAACGCACTCCTTCACCAACCCGAAGCACATCATTAGACGTCCATAAAGCATGGAAAAATAAAGTTTTACCTTTAATCTTTCTTGCAATTTCTATTCGTTATATTGACATACGCAGTCGTTTTACTTAAACCGGGTTCAACCAGTCTCAGGTTTAATTTATTTGGCACAATACGGTTGTGTCTAACTGCACGGCACGACAAAGTAAAGTCTGTGAACGGGAGCGAATAAAATGCCAAAAATTTAACTACTTTTCGGGTACTGGAGCCTGTGTCTTATGAAGCCTAGCCCTTTCTACGAAACAAAAGTCACCGTAAGTACATTACTGAAATTAACTGCAAGCAAAATTACGATGTTTACACTAGGTTCGTCTTCCTCAGGAAATCTAACATCGGCGTTTGTACACTGGCAAATTTGTCCTTATCATCATCTGAAACTGGCCTCTTTTTCCGTCACTCGCCTACAGTCGCCTTAAGAACGCGAACGGCCAACTTGGGAGTTTTAAAAGCGTAGGGTGTGATGGGTGAGAAGAGGGCCCTTCCCATCACCCCCTAATTTCTTCCTTCACTCTTATGCCGCCCGCGTTATTAAGCTTCACGGACATTCAACTAAGAACAAATCCTTCAACTTAAGATAGAGTCGAGTCAATAGATTACTTCATTATTCTTGTGCCTGACGGTGGCCGTTGCAGAAAATTCCATACAATATAAACTTTTCCTGAATATAAGTTAGTTCCAAAATAACCCTGACATTTCTATATAGTGTTGTGTAATAAAATGAATCTCCGGCCTCAATGATTTGTTTCTTGTTTTTTCTTAGTTTCCTACAGGACTACATTTATGATTAAATCATTTTCACCTGAAATAAGTGTAAAACTATAATTGCTGTTACTCGGTGTTGAAGGTATAATTGTAATGGTAAAAAATAACATTGCAAAGTTGGACCTTCAATGAACACCAAGACCCCCTTCCAGAATTAAAAACAGTATACAGTAAGACCCCGTCAACTCGAACTCGTTTAACTCGAACCCCCGCTAACTCTAATTATTTTTGTTCCCCTCGGAAGTTCGAGTTAGCGGGGTTCCACCGTAGTTTCCTTACGAAAGGAACTTCTTCAAGTCTATTTCTGGAATATTCAACATAAGAGAAATTCAGGTTGACCGTCTTATAAAAAGGAAAAGTCGACTTCAGTAGTTCGCCATTAAACAATAACTAAACACTGAATACCAGTTAACTTTCCCAGCAACTGAGTGCCTTCTGATTTGGACAAAAGTCAGAGCAGTCTTTACCATAGGAAGGATATCTGACTTGGTGAATTAACGTTGATATGAAGACTCTGTTCTAGGTCGCCGATAAACATTTTCAATTACATCAAGGTCGGCTTCGTCTTTAAAGTCTATAAACGATACTGATTGAAAAAACTAGTTTTAAGGCACCATCTAGTGGAATTTGTAATTACTGTGGTGACTTTTCTATATTTTGCGATACTTACGAGTACTGAAAATTCTCTAAGTTGCCAAACGCTGTCTACTAATGAGTTTCCTAGCTAGCAAGGCCTTATCGGTTTTTTTAACCAACAGGTCGC